AGGGACTTCTGCCCAAGGCGAGACAATTGATAGGTCGACTATCTCGTCTATGGAAAAGAAGATCGCAAAGCTGACAATAGAGCTTGAAGAGACAAAGGATAGAGAACAAAAGAGAGATGAACAATTTGGTACCCTTCAAGTTCAGCTAGAAAAGAGGGACGAACAATTAAATCTCCTTCAAGGTCAGCTGGCCAATCTTTTTGCAGTGGTGCTTTCCCCATTGCCTGGTCTCGTGAGCCTTCCCCATGTGCTTATCCTTTTCGTAGTGATCCTTCGAACCATGCCGACGATGAAGGTTCTATAGTGAAGATGGAGATGATGCAATTTAAAACACTCATTGAATGGTGTGTATTGCTAAATAAAGTCTTGAACTTGTCAATATTTAGTTGGGAATAGTTTTCAATGGTGATTGTATTATTAATATTATTTTGTTATTGAACATTTGTATAGTTGCTGTTGTGGTTGGCGTTGTTGTTGTTATTAGCGTTGTTGTTGCGGTTGTGGTTGTTAATAGTGTTGTTGTTGGTTAATTGTTGTTGTTGGTGTTTGTTAATTATTGTTGTTGTTGGTTAATTATGGTTGAATTGTAGCAATGTAATGCTACCATTATAGGATGGATATTGGTTGTAATTGGCAGGTGGTGTAGATTAAAATCAGACATATTCTAGAGGTGGTCGAAAATTTCATTTTTTCCCCTAGAAATTTCATATTTCGATCGGAAATTTAAAATGAAATCTCCAGATTCTTGATATTTCTGACCGAAGTCGGTCGGAGATTTTGAATTTAAATAAATTAACAATTTATTACAATTTATAAATAATTATATATTTAAATAAAATTATTATATATTTAAAATTCCGACCGATTTCGGTCGGTATTTGAAATATAAATAAAAAATTAATTAATACCGACTGATTTCGGTCGGTATATGCAGTTTGGTTGTCATTCAACGCATTGAACTAACCGACCGTTTTCGGTCGGAAAATTTTGACCGATTTCGGTTGCAACACCTTAGCGATCATCATTTTTCCGACTAATTAAAAGCGGTAAGAAATCAGTTGCTTTTTCTCAAATTCCGACCGATTTTGGTCGGTTTTCCTGTACAAAATTAACCAGTTATTTAGTAGTGAGACATGGGATTTTCAATAATATAATGAGTTCTTAAGGGCCGAAGAGTCAGCTCGTCCTGGATCTTGGCCTTGTCGGATCTATGGGCTCGATTGAACCCAATGCTTGATTCATGTTCGGCCCATGCCATAAATAACACTTCTAGTTTCTTTTATTTTTTATTTTTACACAAATAGCCGGCCAAATTCAATAATTAACGTTTTTAGACGGTGTATATAGATTATATATGGATTAAACATAATCATACACATATTATATGTGGATCATATATATATATATATATTATACATCCTCCTGCTATTTTTAGTTTAAGCGCTTGGGTGAATGGCTATTACATAGATTATGCACTGATTATATATAATTATACACACACGCGCGCGCGCGCAGACACGCACGTGCACACACACACACACACACACACACACACACACACACACATATATATATATATATATATATATATATATATATATATATATATATATATATACCGGCGCTCAATCGAGATAACCTGGCCGAGCAAGGCTGCTATTTGCCTTCTATCTAACCTCACCCATGAATAAAGAGAAGATATATTTTCGTGCCGGCAACAAGGCCCCACCTATGTCTACAGAGCCTCTAATAGATACAAAAGAGTGCTATGATAATGCCGGCAACAAGGTCCCGACTATACCTCAAAACACAATACACTAGGAACAAAAGATAGACGACCCCGAATAAGGTGGGGCTCACCAAGTCAGCTGGGAAAAGGGTATCACTGGTCAATGCCGCCTGTTGTGGAACCACCTGCATCCATTAAAGGTGTAGCGCCTCAAGCAAAAGGGACATTATTACATATGGAATAGTACTAGTATGTATGACTAAACACCCTCTAAATAGAACGAGTAATAATACAAGAAAGAACAATCATAGAATCAATGGAAGCCTCAAACAATACCAAAACATCAAGCTAGGAGCAACATAAGTTTTCAAGTAAATTTTCATATTTTAGGTTGGGAGATCTTTAGTACCGATATACCATCGTGTATTTAGCACGGAGTCCGATCACGGCCTGATTGGTTAGGCCGTCTCACCCAAAGACATTCAATCACAATCAAAATCTCAATCACTATCTCAATCACAATTTCAAGCACAATCACCACCATGTGTGCGGCATGGCATCCGATCTCGACCCAATTGGCTAGGCCATGTCACCACAATGCCTTGTGGATCGACATCACCTTTTTCTAGGAGTCATCTCATCCCAGTTCAGGGAAATAATCTAATCACATCAATCTCATCCCAAATAAGGGGAATAATCACAATCCATTCATACACCGTCGCGTGTAGTTTGGGGGTTATGTTATTTCAACCTACCCTTCCTCGGTGACTAACGATACTCCCAAAAATGTTTATTAAATAAAGGACTTTCAGTTCATTTCATAATCTTTTACACATCTCTTCATTTCATTGGCACTAGTGGCCCAAATGTAATATCATTCTTGGCACGTTTGCTGTATTTCATATTTTATTGTCACCTCTTTCACTTTCAAACATCATCCTTGATTATCAACAACAAGGCATTTCTATTCACGACATTATTACACAAGTGAGCAAATAAGAGTCTTAAGCACATTGAAATTTCTTACACAATTTGGCGTAATAGCTTTCATTTTAAACACGACTAGTAGTTATAACATTTTAATACGCAACCCATACTTTGAACACATTTCTGAAGTATAACATAACATGATAAGAGCATTCAGAATATATATCTTCAGTAAAGCTTATTCGGAATAGTTAATTTATAATGAACAACTCGGGACTTACAAGAACATCGTGGGATTCAATTCTAAGAGAGAAGTTTAGCCAACATACCTTGATGGAGCTCTTTAGTGATACTAAAATCTCCCACTACTCTTACATCTTCAATCTACATCAACATAATTCAATTCGACTAATATTAGTAAAAATTTCTAGGTTTTTGGTCATTTTGACATTTTATCAAACACCGGGAGTGCATAGCATTTAACTACCTCTAGTAATGGTGTTTCTTCATCCAACAATCCCTCCTTCCCACCAACAAGAGATAATACAACATCCTTTGTCTACTAACTACCTTGTTAGCACCATTACAATAATCAATGAACTCACATCCACCAAATTTTACTATTAACTCATTACAAAATCTCTACAACATCAATAGTCTAGGTTAAGCACTTATGGCTTCCAATCACCATCCCATAAGTGCTAGCATTTATTTCTTGCTCATATGTTCACTAACAATTCATGCATGTAGGTTTAAGGGTGAAAGATTACCTCTTGTAGAGCAAATCTTGAAAGTCAACTTTTCGGGTGTTATTGAGATTTTGAAGAAATCCTATGGAATCCAATCAAAACCTTGTTGTAACTAGTGATTGAGAAGTAAAATCATCATATAACCACATTTAAAATCTCACCTTAAGTGTGTATTGGAAGCCTTGATCGAATGAGTGATGGAGAGAAAAGCCCTAGTCTTGAAATCCTTTTATTTTTCTCTCTCCCCGCTCAGGTATTAATAGGCCTAGGTACAGTATTTTTTCACTGGTGCTATCCCTGTGCTATAAGGCTTTAGCTCACTGGTTTGCTAAAATCAGGTATAGTATTATTCCACTGGTGCTTTCCCTGTGCTATAAGACTTTAGCTCACTGGTTTGCTAAAATTTTTTGCTTACCTTCTGTGCTATAGCTGCGCTATGGGGAGATAGCTCACTATATTTTCTTTAGTTTTATTGCTTTGAAATTAGCATCCAAGTGTTCCCTATTATTACAACACTCAAGATTAACAAAATAATTATTCCCAAGTATCCAAATAACTTTATCCACTCAAGTAATTTCTAATATAGCTCGGGTCAACATTAAATTGTATTTCTAAGTTCGAAACTGCTCGAATTAGCTATAGAAATTCACGGGGCCTTACATATTTGGGTTAATTCTTCTTTCTTTTTTGAAGTATTAACCTAAATAGTATAGGCCACTTAACCGCTTACTTGTTCAAAGGTGGAAGACAAGCAATTATGCTGTTTCTGCAAATGTGTCCATAGGAGGCATATCAGCAGTTTGAGATCTGTTTATATGACACAGGCTGCAATGCCAAAGGAACTTTTTGCTAAGTCACTTGCACCTCATGGTTTTCTGCCGCACTTACTAAGGCGAAAAGGCTGGCATCTTTATGCAAAACTCCTAAAAATTATGAATTAAATTATGATGCTCTAGGCCTAAATGTTGAGGTAACAACTTCCAGAGTTGAATGTCACACCAACTTGTAAAAGTTCTGAAGTTGTTCTTGTGGGGAAATGGTATTGTCCTTTCATCTTTATCAAAGATTGAACAATACTTAAAGAACAGATGAAGAGATCTTTGTTCTATGAAATGACACGAGCAGATATGGGACCGTTTTTCTCTTGTCAAAATGACATACAGCGACTTGTGGATGTCGTTCTTGACACAGAAATTGTCCTTATTGCTGGAAGTAAAGCAACATGGGAAAGAGGCGGATCCAGAATTTAGGCCCTGTGGGTTCAACCTTTACGATTTTTAGCACTAAACCCATTGTATTTTTAAAGTTAAGGGTTCAGACCTGTTATTTGTTGACATATGCTCCACGGCAAAAGTACTCTATATCATGCAAGTTGCATGGGATGATAAAAATGTTGTTGAAGGAGTAATATGGTTTAGAAGCTATGGAAAACAAATAGAATTAAAGTGTGGGATTGAGACAATAAATAGTTCATAGAATGAAATGATCCTTATTCTATTTTCTATGTTATCATATCACATTCACTATGAACCTGCTCTATTAGATAAATTTAACTAAAAAACTATACGCTATTAGTGCGCGAAGCTTAAATCCAATATTTACAACGGTTAGTAAACTTATTCGTTATCGAGCAGTACAATACATTCAACATGAAAATTTTTACTCCTTAAATACAATAAACAACCAATACAACCGATACAGACATTATATCAGCAAAACAATACATTACAACACATTACGATACAAAATAAAACATTATGAAACTATGGGAGACAACCATCCGATTTGACAGTAATGAGAACTCAATGCAGTTGGTTCACTGTGATAATTTATTCATCTTTATTCCTGTTTTTTGCTTTTAGCTGGGACAGTATTGTGTTAGCAGCAGCTATGGACGTTTTGACTATATCTCCTCCTTTAGCAATCTCAGGATCTACAATTTTTGCTTCTTCAAGAGCCATTTTACAGTTTCCTACATAATCACCAATAATCATAAAGTCATAGTCATCTGTATCTTCTTGGTACCCTTTGTTTTTGGTAGTAGTCTCCAAAACCCTTTGGAAACCAGAGACCATATCAGCCCATTTTGTTTCACAAAAACCATATGCTGGATTTGCTAATTTCTTTTTCAGTACATAGTCATGTGTGATTTTTGCTTGCCCTATAAGATTTTTAATAATGGCCAATCCTAAGGCCAATTCTTCTGATGCTGCTGCTGTGACTTGCTTATCAGCTTTCAAATGATCTAGACATAACTGTTTTGAGGTAGTGCCCGAGCAAGCTGTCATTATCAAGTCGTTGCTATGCACCTGCACAGAAATGGACAAGATGAAGGACGAAATGAGGGTAACTAGAACCGATAATTTGTGCAAAGAAGCCATTTTTATAAAGTCGAAAGGCTTCTTTGTCTTTTTATTAATGTTTATGCCTTTTTTCCGTTTGGAGTAATTTTATGCCTTTTTATAGATGAGATGAGTAACAACCTGACCTTGGTACTAGGAGATATTCGGTGGTGAGGCATTAATATTGGTTTTTTTAATTTTTTTTTTTTTTTTTTTTTTTTTTTTTTGTTTTTTTTTTGGGTTGTTGTTGTATGGTTATGAAAAAAAAGAACTAGAGATCAGGAGAAAACACAAAAAAGTTGGTTGTTATCTCCTCTAAAAAAGTACATTGCAATTTCTTCGGCAATTGTACTAATTTCCACTAATAAAAGAAACTATCGAAAGGGAAAAAGTTAGAAAATGACCATAAATAAATCGCGAATAAAGAAATATTGCAGAGGAAGAATCTCAAAACGAAGAAATTAAGTTTGTGAATTGGATGTTGCCTTCATATTTCATAATTTGATACAAGACACTAGGGGTGTTCGTCGGTCGGTACGGTACGGTATTTAGATATTTCGGTTTGGTATTTTTAGTATTCGGTTTTTTAAAATGCTATATCAATATCGTACCTAATTATATTTGGTATGGTTCGATTTTTCTCCTTTCGATTTCGATTTATTCGGTACGGTAACTTCGGTTTGTAAGTTTTCTTAATTAAAGTACTCATAAATATAAAAATAAAAACGTTCTAAGCTCACATGAGTATTGACAAAAAATTTATCAAGACCCGGCAAGTATCAACCAATAGAGAGAAAAAATGTACATAAAGGAATAAATTTAATCATTGAAAAATATATTGTTACTTGCTTAGAGCTAATTGCTGAAGTTAGAAAATACAACAAGGACTACTCCAACATATGCAATTCAATAAACGAGAAGAAACACCCTAATACCGTAAAAGTATTACGTTAAGATGCTTGGCATCTTAGAGAATAGGAGTCAAAATCTGCGGCCTACCTTGTTTCTCCATTTTCCTAAAGAACTATATGGATTTTACTACCAGTCTCAACATGCATACCAAAGAAACATATTATGTAACTTTAGTATGTTATAATCAATGATATGTGTAATGTGTAATTTATTATATATTTCGGTACGGTATTGGTATTCCGATATTATTTTAGTAAATATCAAATCTCATTAACAAAATATCAAACTTAAACCAAATATCAAAATATCAAATAACAAATACCAAAATTTTCGATAACGATTCCATGTTTCGATATTTATCAAATTATGCACAGCCATTCCAGACACAGCAGATTACTACTTACTACTATTAATAAGGGAGAATCGAGAGAAACTTCTGGTAATTGTGAATTGACAAAAACCTCCGAGATTTCAGTTTACTCTCTTCCTGCTTTGAAGGGTGTCTTGGTAAAACCATCCGGCTTATCGTTAATATGCAAATGCTACTATAGGTCAAATAGAGCAAAACTTTGCATGTGATGACACGTGCTGACTTTGACTGCTCATTTTGTGTGTCAGTTTTTTACACCTAAAATAAGATGCTGAACTGATTTAGCTTTGAGGGGTTGTTTGGACGCTAACTAAGTTATTCTGGAATTATAATATTTCAGGATTAATTTATATCATATAAGAGGTGGGATAAAATAATCTCAAATTTAATAGCATAAAATGAGAAAAGATAAGATATTTTAAATAAAGACAACGATTAAATTTATAGCGTGTTTGGTTAGAAATATAAATCTATCTCAGGATAAATTTATACCACCAACCAAATATAATATAAATTTAATTCTATATCTTATTCTTCGTACCAAACGACCTTGATGAAATTGTTCTATTTTCATATGTTATATATTAAATGGTTATATTGAAATTGGAACACTATAATTTAGATTAAATATGAACTTCTAGATATAATCACTTATTAGCCGTTATAACTATTGTTGTATTCTAGATCTATATATAGTAACTATTTATTAATATAACTAGTAAATAAGAAAAAATTAAATTACAATATGATTTATTGTGAATTTACCCGGGATAGAATAGATTAATTTTTTCATGTGTATATATTTCTTTATAAATATATATTTCTAATTAGCTCCAAATTCCATGTCATCAATTTCAAAGATAATATTGTTATCCTAAAGAGTTAATTATTGTCTGATAGTTGATCATGAACTTCACTAATTACTGAAACCAAACATTTAGACTTGAAAATACGTCAATAGAAACCCATCCACCACTAAGCTATCGTTAGACTATAAAAGAGAAACAACTGATATTAATTTCATTAAACCCTTAAATAGAAAAATGGCATTCATCATGTCAAGGATGATTGACATTGCATAGATTGCCTCGATTAATTTCATAACATGAGAAATCTTATATGCTCATATAGGTGTTAGTGAGTAGTAATTATTGCACTATTCCTATTTTCTTTTCACGAAAATATTATAGGTGTTAGTGAGTAGTAATTATTGCACTATTCCTATTTTCTTTTCACGAAAATATTATTAATTAACGCACTCTTTAATTTTTTTTGTAATTGATTCTTATTTTTTATTATAATTAAGTATATTGGAACTAGTCAGTTCAACTGATAGAAATGACATACAATACCACTCGATTAAATGATTCACAAAATGCATAGTTGTTTTCATTGACAGAAATTTTTATTTTTCGTAGTAATGCTAGAAGTGCCTTGAAAGAGGGAGAAAAAAAGAAGCAGAAATTGTTTCTTTTAAGAGAGATGTTACACCACCTTGTGGTCCATCATATAAAGTTTTAACCATCTACTAATTCATAGCGATTTTTCGTACTTATCCTATTTCATTAACACATGGTAACATCTTTTTAAGTTTTCTAAAATTGTAATAAGAAAATGAATCATTTTCTAATACTATCTTATTCTCTCACATATACTATTCCTTTATTCATTTATTTATTCCTCATGCATGATAGAAATATTCACCTTTTTCTTTTGCAAAAAATTACCAAAATAAAAGCTACCAAATATCAAACAACCATTAAAACCACAAATGGTAAGATAATTGTGCCTTTAGATGGAAGAACCGATCTTATAAATCGACAAAATCATGGGTAAGAAAGCATTTAACTTTCTAATTATTTATATGGCACAACAACACACATAAGCACATTATTGTATTTGTTTATGCATTTACCAGTATTTATTACCCATATCATTGGCATATAATTAGTACTTTCCACAAAAAAAATACCTTAATGTAACAATTTAAAGGAAAAAAGGAAAATCAGAGACAATACACAAGTATAAAATCGTATATTTGTCAAGACCCAAGTTCGCCCTCCATGAACTATCGAGACGTCACCTAGTCTCTATGACTAGGTAAGCCTAATAAATTGCGGAAAAAGGAAACAAAATACGAAACTAGCAAAAACTACGGATAAAACATAATAAAAACATTTAAGATGCCGCTCGGCATGTACAAACATACACTCTCAAGACTGAATCAACTCCCAAAACCCGAAACCTCATGAAATCACAATCTGTATATACTACATAGTGTTCTAGCTCCAGAATGTCCAATCAAAAGAAAGTACGGAACGTCTATAGCTGAAAGAGAGAATAGAGAGGGACTCCTCGATCTGCGGACGCGGCAAATATACCTCAAAGTCTCTAAAGATCGCCTCGCCTCACTGATAGTATGGCTGAGACGAAGAACCTGGATCTCCACACGAAAAATATGTGCAGGAAAGGGCATGAGTACACCACAGCGGTACCCAGTAAGTGCCAAGCCTAACCTCGATCGAGTAGTGACGAGGAAGGTTAGGACCCTACTGGTTATATATATATATATAAACGAGGTAAAACAGTATTAAGTGCGACAGTATAATTAAATAAACTAACAGTTGAAAAAGAGTAAAATCATAGACAGAATAGGCTCAGTACACAGAGATATCAATAGGGGATCTCCCAGGATATCGTCCCGTAGTCCCAAACGTAAAGGTACAGAGGATCTCCCGGGATATCGTCCCGTAGTCCGAATCATAATATGCAAGGGAAACTCCCGGAATACCAATTCGTAGTCCCAAAGTAAATATCCAGTACAGGGGAATCTCCCGGGTGTCGTCCCGTAGACCCAAATGTAAAAGTGCAGGGGGATATCCCAGAATACCGATATGTAGTCCCAAAATAAACATGCAGAGGGATCTTCCGAGATATCGTCTCGTAGTCCCAAAGTAAACACACCACAGAATCTGGAAAGAGTCTACAGTTCTATTCGAAAATAAACAGAAATTCTACTCTAAACATGCTGCACAGAATATAAGTAAGCAATTAAAACAGATAAGCCAATTAGATCACATAGGCATGCTTTTCCTAAACTAAACAAGAGGCTTCAAGTACAAGTATTACTCAATTACAAGAAAACATAGATATTTACTTAATGAAAGCGGGATTTTTCAACAATTAGCACGTGTACGCACTCGTCACCTCAAGTACGCGACACTCAGATAACAACAGTACCAAATCCTAAGGGGAGTTCCCCCCCACAAAGTTAGACAAGCCACTTACCTAGTACCAACGGTATTTCAAAGCTCAATCACCGCTATACCTCTCGATTTCACCACCAATTCACTCATATCTAGCCATAATTAACTTAATAACGTCAATAAACGCTAAAGAAACCAATTTCAATGCATAATCAAAGATTTCTCAATATGTTTCCCAAAAAGATAAAAGTCGACCCCGGGCCCGCTTGGTCAAAACTCAAAGTTCGGACCAAAACCCGATTATACATTCATCCCCGAGCCCGGATATACAATTGGTTTCGGAATCCGATCCCAAATTGAGGTCTAAATCTCCCAAATTCGAAATTCATATGTTTACCCAAAATTGCCAACTTTTACCATGAAAACTCTAGATTCTTGGTTGAAATCTTGTTAAAAGCTGAAAAGGATTGAAAGGAATTAGTTAGAGATCACTTACCAATGATTTGGAGGAGTTTAGGTCTTTGAAAAATCGCTTAGGGAGGTTTAGGGTTCGGAAATTTGAGAAATGAGTTCAAAATCCCAACTAAGTGATGTTTTACCTAGATGCAGGTA